CCTTGGTTCCCAGTCTGCCTGGAAAGCCAGTCTGCCTGGAATAACCATAGACATTGGAGCCTTGAGTGACTGGCAATAGCCCTGCCTACATTTCCTTCTACCCCCTCCACTCCTCCCACCAAGATCTTTTCATAGGTCATAGTAATTCAGTCTGGTAAGGACTCTGTAACTCATGGACTTGACAGAAAACCAGAATAATAATTGCTATCTTTCTAGATGTTCATTTGGTTGTGGGGGGAGGTATAAAAGCTGGACTAACCACAGGATCATGTTAGTGGATATTAGATCTGCTCACAGGTGACTCTCACACAAGTGAGGATAAGGCACTGATAATCAGGTCTGTGATAGTTGTCTTCAGTATCATTTCATTTTGTTAGCCACTGTAGAAGTCATACTCAGAAGCTATTAAGCCAACTGACTACCAACCCAAATCCAGGAGAGGCAATAAACTACACAAAACTGAAAGGGTATCCAGCTATAGTAGAATTCCAATAGAGAAGCAATTGGAATTTAAGATGTCTCAGAGAGAAGGTTTTAAGAAAGGTAGGTTAAAATCATAACAACAATGGTAGTAGCAGCAGGAACAACACTAAAATAAAACCACTAGCATTTATTGAGAAAGAAGAAAAGCCAGAAAGAGAAAATGTGAATCAGGAAATAACCATAGACATTGGAGCCTGGGACAATATTATTCATCCCATGTGTCTCTGGCATTCCCAGGCCCAGTATAGGAAACTGCCACCCATTTGTGAACCAACTGTAATGGGTGAGAAACTGAACCAGACTGAGACTGTCATATATAACTATAAAAAACAAAGTACCCCTCTATTTCCATAGTCTTTTATCCAGCTCAGTGTGTCTACCAGCTGTTGACTCACTATGAGGTATAAATAAAATGAAGTAAATCACCACTTAAGATTGCCTCTTGTTCTTTCTTTAAAGAAGTATCATTCTCCTCCTAATAAAGAAAAAAAATGGGAGGAAATGAGCTAATATAATATAAAAATTATGTTTTTCCCATCCACCCAACATTGCTGCCTCCCTTTGATGTACAAGTAGCCAAGTTTATCCCTTAGAAAGTTGTTAAAAGTTGTTGTTATTGACAGAAACCCTACATGGTGCACTACTTCTCCATAAAGGTCTTTCTTCTGCCTCCAACAACTCTCATGGCCCCTTCCAAAAACCTCCTGGTGGGAAATTAATATATTTAGGAGAAAGTCTCCAACATCTGCTTCCAGTTTCGTTGACATCATCTTGCTTTCCAATTTCCAATTTTTTTCTCATTTTCTCTTTCACAAATTGCTTTTTTATTTTATTTTTATTTTTACAACTAAGCTGTTAGTGTTGTGCTTTGGAAATAGGATTAGAAAGGGATGAACAAAGACCTATAAAAGGAGAGAGAAAGGGGAAAAAAACAATATATTTTCATTTCCATATGGTTATGAACCTTATGAGTTATGTAAGCCTCATGTTACAGAAGTTCTTCAGCTATTTGGGGGCCCATTTCTCTATACTGGGAGGAGAAACTGCACTTCCATTCTAATAGTCTCTGAGAATCAGATTTCATTTCTTACTCTTTCTTCACCCTCTCACTTAAGTCATAAAATTTACCACCTCGGGAATCATTTATCGATTTCCAACCTTCCTTTCCAAAACAGCACTGTAGTTGTCTACACACGTATTTTTGCAACTGCATGAAACCTTGCTAAAGTAGAGCAAGGTGAACATATTCTCACTCTTCCTTGTCATCCCTCTAATCATTTAATTGGAAATAAAATCCCAGGGAAAAGAGAGCCAAATGCAGGCATAAACTCATTGTTCCATGTGAAGCAGATAAGCTATTGACTGAAATGCATTTTTATAGTACTGTCTCAAGCTGAATAAGTGCCTCAACCCTTCATTTAGTGAATTCCAGTAAGTAATAATGCAGAGTGATTTCCAAGTAGTTTTTGGCCCATAAGTTTCTAGAAAATAAGTAATTTGCTCCTATTGTCATGGAGACAATTATACTACTAAGCAAAATATGTACCATGAAATACTAGGGGAAAAAAAAACTTCTAAATAGGAATTTTAAGTTAAAAATGGGTAGGCTTTTGGTTTATTGTGATACCAGACATTTAAAACCTAAGGTAGAATGTTATAAATTCTTTTATTTAGGGGTTCATTTATTTATTTTTGGCAATAAATGGGGGAACTAAATAGGTAGGAGAAATATGAAAGTGAGAGAAAATATAATTGGGTGGTCAGATTCTTAACATATCTTTTCCCTCTTTAATGTAGCATCTTAATCATTTCCTAGTTTAAGATTTGAGATTTGGAAGGTAAAACTATACCATCAACTTAGTCTAGATTTCAGTATCTCAAAGGAGACATAAGTATAGTCTATATTTAAGAAAGTAAAGGGGGGGTGGAGAAAAATGCCCCCTATTTAAAGTTTAAGTTCTTCTAAGCACTCACATTCTGGAATGGTTACTTTAGATTTGCATATATAAGATAATTTTTAAAGTGGCTTTCATGGGCAGATGACTTTTCCTGGAAGAGGGAAATTCTTATTCTAGGACTAAAGCAAAAGAAGGGTTTGGTTAAGGAGGGTTCTGTTCAACAGTGTCATAGACTTTGGTTCAGGGTCTTTAGCCCCACTCCACCCCTGACACTTTGCTGCCATCAGACTGTATTCCCATGGGACCACAACTATTTCACAGTTACTTCTTTATCATTCTTTGCTGTTGCTTATACTTGTGGCTTTCTACCCTTATCTTTTGTAACTTCACTTCAAGTATCTGATCACTATTATTCAGTTGTAAGTTTACAGATATTTGAGGTAATTCTTTTGACATTTCCGATTTCCCACACTTAAGAAAATGGTGATTAAAGGAGAAAGGATGTGGAAGAAAACCAAGAGAGAGAGAGCAATAAATGAAGCAGCCAGTCCTTAAACAACTGGCTAGCAACAGTTGCAGATTCTTATATACAGATGTGCGAGCACCCTCAGCCTTGGCCAGGAGTCACCTTTAGCTAAACGAACTGCACACATGAATAAAAGGAATGATCGTTTAAGATGAAAGAGAACTGCAGTTTAAGAAGCTTACTTTGAAAAGTCAGTAGCATACCCGGAAATTAAAGGAGACTCCCCCAACCCCCACTCCGCACCCTCCCTCCGCCCAATAGAAGGGGCTTTTGCAAGGCAAGTCTACTTTCCGAGAGTCCCAGCTTAATCCTGAGCAGAGGCTGTCAGACCGGAAGGACTCAGAATTTATGGGGGCAGAGGTGGGGGCGAGCCAGGGTTCGATGAAATAAGGAGACAGAAAAAGAGGGACAAGACCCCAAGGCAAAGAGCACGCAGTGGGAAATTCCCTGTATATGTATTTTTCATTTCTACTCAGCAAGATCCTTTCTTCTCACCGGACAGCAGGCACCAGTAAAGAGCGATGTTTAGCGCCTGACTGCCCCTCTGGGTTCCAGAAGGAGGTCTCAGTGGTGTGAGAGAAACAAACTAACACGGTATGCACCTTTTCCTTCTAAGGAAGTCCTCCCTTCATTTACCTTATTTCATTACTGGATAAAAACGTAGTTGTCTCCTTACGTCGTGGTTTTGTTTCGCCTATTTCAAAGGACTAGCGAACCAACTTACCCTAAAGTTAACAGATTGCCCTCTTCAATGTACAGCTAGGCGGGGCCGAGGGAGTGGGCATCGATACCATTCCAAAGCCTTTCTTCCCTTAGGAGTGAAGAGTTGAATGGCAAAAAAAAAAAAAAAGAAAGAAAGAAAAAAGAAAAGAACCCTGAGATCCTCTGGGCGAAAACGTGTTGCAGCCCGGGTTGAAGGAGTCAACTTGCAGGCTGTTAAGGACCTCAAGTCATTAGCATCAGCTGCTTCACTAAAGGGGTAAGCCAGCGCCTCTAAGTGGCTTAACGCACAAACGAGGCTCCCGAGACCGCGGTGGAAACTCCATCCACTCATCACCCGCTGGAGGTGAAAGTCTCTCCATAGCCCACTTCGGGAATCATTTTTACTTGGATTCACCCTCACTCCCTCTGCCACCCCGAGGTTTCAGAATACCTCTGCTCTCATCGTGCAACACACTCTAGGGCTATGTAGAACGAGCCAGGTAGAGAGCTGAACAGTCTTGAGTCGAGTTCAGCTGGATTCTTCCCACTCATATCCCCTCAATCCTTCTCAATCCGCGTAGTTGTGTCCTGGGAGCAGAAAACCCCTAGAAACCCTTTTCCGAGGTCTAGTAGCGCCCCCACTCTTTTCCCCTTACCCCAAGTGCAGGTCCAACTGTCGGGTGAGCCAAGTTCTCACCAAAGCGCATCCTTTCAGAATCTGGAGTGGAGGGGCTTGGTAGAACGAGCGCTCCAGGAGAGAGCGGGTGTGCTGCCTCATTCCCAGGCTACTAGCTGCGCAAATCTACCGCTGCTCAATGGCCAGAGAATCGCCCAGATTAATTCGCAACCCCGATATCCTTCACAGAAGTTAGACTCGGGAAAAGCGTGCGGGTTCCGTGAGCGCGCTGAGTGGCGCGCTCTCTGCCAAAGGTTCTCCAAGTGCCAAGACAAACGTGAGAGGCCCTCTCTGCGTTTTTGGTTATTTTTTTCTTTTCTTTCTTTCTTTTTTTTTCTTTCTTTTTATTTATTTATTTATTTTTTTTTTTGGTACTTCTCTTTCCGACCCTGAAATGATCTGCCCCTCTTAATAGTCCCAGAGGGCCCAAGCTTTAAAAAGAGGCAGGCGGGGTCGCACTCCGAGAGATTTTGCCACTTGGGCGAGGTGCTCAGGACCTGCCGGGTTTACCGAGGCCTGAGAGACCGCAGTGAGGCTGGCGGCGCAGGAGGGAGCGCCCAGACCAGTAAAGAGTTAAAGGGAGGGGACGTGGGCTGTCACGCGTCATTGGGCAGATTATGTGCAGCAAACAAAAAGTGTGTGTCTGCGTGCCAGTCAGTCACTGCATCGGGTCCATCTGTACAACTCTCTCCTCTCCTCTCTCTCTCTCTCTCTCTCTCTCTCTCTCTCTCCCCCTCTCTCCCTCTCTCTCTCTTCCTCTCTCTCTCTCCTTCTCTCTTCTCTCCTCCTCTCTCTTCATCTCCCTCTCATCTCTTTAGGCTGAGCGTAGAAGACAGCAACACCAACATCTCTTGACATGGAAATACACTGATACAATAGACAAGAGAAGCCCTGGATTTGCATTTCCCGATTTCAGGTGGCCTTATCTGGGCGATTCAATCCTGATCATAATCCTGGTAAGTCTGTTTGCTCTGATGTGGGAGGGGGATGGGAGCAAGACAGGTTTGGTGGGAGAGTAAAAAAAAAAAATTATCCTGTCTCCTCATTATACTGGGGAGGGGGGATAATTCTTGAGAGGCTCTCTGCCATCAATAAGATTATACAAAGGGAGGAGCGGGTGGGGAGCACTCTGCCGGAGAAGCGAGCGACTGGGGAGCGCGCGGCCACCAAACAATGCCTGCCTACGGGGGGTGGTGAGCTGCCGGCTGCAGTGGGCTTTTGGCAAGTGCCGCCTGTTTTGGTAGGATCTCCGGGTTGCAAAAGAACCCGGGGTCCACGAGGAGGATGCAGATTTGTGAAAGATTGGGTGGCAAAGACGGCCGCGCACGGGAAGCCCAGGCTGTCGCGCAACGGTTATTGTAACCGCCTGGAGGCTCGTGGCGGCGGCCGCAGCGACGCGGGCCCCTATTAGAGCGGCGTAGCGAGGATCTTTTCACCGTATTGTTAGGTAGAACTGCATTTTAATGATTGCGTCCCTGCTGTTGCCCGAAGTGACGGGGCGACCTCCCGGCACAATGAGACGCTTGTGTGAAAGACACTTTTAAAAGGAAGAGAGAAATTGGGGCATAAAACTCTGAATTGAGGAAAATGAAAGGAGAGAATAGGGTTCTGTTGAAAAGGAGAGGACAGTTTCTGAAGGGTTTTTTTTGTGTTTTTTTTTTAATGTCTTTAAATTTGCATTTGGACATCAGAAAGGCCACGCTGTGTGAGGTAAAAATGTCCAGGGATAGATGTTATAGCATAAAAGTTTTTACAGTTTGTGGTTATTTCCCCTCATATCTGTGTGGCAGATATAGCCCCATACTTGACATTTGTGGGATGTAGTTGGATGAATGGAAAAGGAAGGTGATCAAAGTTACAAGCTCTGTTAGTTGGAGAGGGAGCGAAAAGCACTATCTTGCAACTATATTTGCAAGATTAATTGGTTAACAGGAGCTAAAAATGGGCATTACTAATATTATTTCAGAATGAACAATTTTGCAGGAGAAGAATTAAGTCTGATCTTTTTGCTACCTAAGTAATACATTATAGGCATAAATTACTGCCTATAGCAACATTATTAGAGAAAAACCAACTTGGGGGGATCTTTTTCTCAGTCAGAAAGAGTGAATGATATAAGTCAAAGCCAGTTTTAAATTTAAATACTTGTTTTCTTAAAATAAGCCCTGTAGGAGATATCCAGTGGCAAAGGGTGGACAGTGTCTCCTTATGACAGCTTAATAAAGAGTCCTCCCTCAGAGCATTACTTTCTAAATTGTTTTGGATTAAACAGCTGGAGAGCCCACCAAGGTCTACTCAAACAGAGATGCCCTCTCTTGCCCAGACCAGTCCTACCTGGTGGAGCAAGAATTTACCAGTCATTACATGGTTGGTATTTCAGACAGGGGGCACTTCAGGCTGTTAGGGACTGCCAAGAGGCCAGTCCTATACCTGCTCACTTCACAAGGCACATGTGACTCAATCCACCCCCTTGTATAACAAGGTAACTGGGATTCGCTCTCCTCCATAAATAAGCATGCCGAGAAAAAAAATAATTACCTCCACTTGCTGCTTTTAATTAAAGCCTCAGAGGGACAGTGTTGGATTATGGTAATGAGTAGACATACGTCCCTTCTTGTAGGCTACAGAGAAAGGTTAGCTCACACGGAATCAGTGGTCCTGACAGTCCACTTGAAATCCATTTGCCATGCTCTGCTGTCTCTGCCTGCTCACTAATGCTGCTCCCCTTTCGAAAGAAAAATCAAATCAAATCATACACAGAGCCCTCTCCCCCCACCAACCACCACCACCAGTTCAGTACATTGACGAGCTAAGAGACTTTCTCCCAAAGGTTAAAAGTTTCTTTCAGTCTGGAAAATCTAGTTGTTTTTTTTAAATCCTATTGTTTTCTGCCATTTTCTCATTCCCAAATTCTGCCCACCCTCCTCTTAGATGGTGCAAAGCCAATTTCCTCTTTCCTTAGCCTATTTTATTTTCCCCCTAGTTATGAGTCCACTCTGAGCTCTCACCACTCCTATTTTTTTTTTAAAGGAAGTGAAAGTGCTCCTTAGTTGGCATCTTCAAAATGTGTCAGACCTAATCTAGTACTGGCCTTTTTTCTGGAGCTATGGAAAATTTCAAGAAAAATCTGTCCTATCAGTGAAATGTTCTCTCTGGATGCATAGAGGTAATAAGAGTAATATAACTCGCTTCATTGTCGTGTGTATCTGTCTCTAGTGATGGAGGATTCAGGCATCCAGCGAGGCATTTGGGATGGAGATGCCAAAGCTGTCCAACAATGTCTGACAGATATTTTTACCAGTGTTTACACCACCTGCGACGTTCCTGAGAATGCTATATTCGGTCCCTGCGTCCTGAGCCATACCTCCCTGTATGACAGCATAGCTTTCATAGCTCTCAAGTCCACTGACAAGAGAACAGTCCCTTATATCTTCCGGGTAAGTCATGGCCAATGCTGCTTAGGCTTAGGCTATGAGGGTAATGTCCTGTTTAAAACAGACTACAAATCATTCTAATGAGAAGCTGAAAGGGGTTCTGAATGTGGAAAATGCTATAATGGGAGCCATCCTATTTTACACACCAAAAATTAGGAAAGGAAAATTAAACTCAAATTACTGTCAGTTGATTTTCTGGACTAAATGAAATTTGATTTTGAATGCCAGATAGGCCTAAATCCATGCCTCTGTTCTGGGCTTTCCTGATCATGAACATAACTTCTTAACTCTTTGGGATTTTTCACTAAGGTTGAGTCTGTTTGCATATAAAAGCCAGCTTTAAGTGTTTCCTAAATAAGTATGCTGTGTATTTGCTTTCCAGTGTGGGATGCCACCTCTTTCCTTAAGTATTACCATTTTTGGTTAAGAGTTTGTATTGAAATAAAAATGGTAATGGTTCTGACAAAACAGCATAAACCCATTTTGAGTTAGAAGATTAAAATCCTCTCACTTCCTATTCTTCCTTTACAAAGAAAATTATTAATTGCTTAAGCCAACATTAGGAAGAGAAATGAGCATTATGGAATATTTCTAGGAGCCCAGCTTACTTTTTATATCCAAAACAAATAAAATTCCCCATACTTTTATTACGTGGGATAATTTAGATATAAATCTGCAGAAAATTAACACTAACTTGAATTGTAAGAGGAAATTTCCTAATTTGGAAACATATTCGGCCAATGTATGAAAACAACTACTTGAATCATCTATATGTACGATGCAGCATTTCAAGGACGGTTGTTTTGCATGTTGGTTGCAAACCCAAGGATAGGTGACAACCTGGATAAAGTTTGTGGAAGTCTGACGTTAGATAATTCTTTGGAAAAAATGGAAGATACGAAATGGACCTGGTTCTCCTGGCTCCAGCTCTCATAAGGGTTCCCGTTTCCCAGCAAGCCTCCGCCCCTGATCCTCCTTCTTGTGTTTTGCTTTTTTCTAAACTGCAGGTAGACACTTCAGCGGCAAATGGTTCCTCAGAAGGTCTTATGTGGCTGCGGCTGGTCCAATCAGCCAGAGATAAAGAGGAGCAAAATCTCGAAGCGTATATCAAAAACGGACAGCTCTTTTACCGATCTCTCCGCAGGATTGCCAAAGACGAAGAGTTGCTAGTTTGGTACGGGAAAGAACTGACTGAGTTGCTCTTGCTCTGCCCCTCTAGGTCCCACAGCAAAATGAATGGTAGGTTGGCTCAAGACTTGCGTGTGGGCCCTTAGATAGCGGGAAAGTGTCGCAGGGAGCGGAGGGAACTCATTCTGGGCTGTCACGTAGGAAGCCTCTGAAATACAACCCTTATAGTCCCGAAAGAAGCTGGGACTGATAGATGAGGGTAAATCGGAGAACATATGCTTGATTTCTACACCCCCCCACCCCTCCTTCCTCTGGGCCCCAAATCAGGAGGGAAAATTAGACCAGATCAGACGGGGTGTTCTGGCACTTAGGCCCTGAAAGATGAAGGTGGATCTGTGAAGGGGGTGATGGCAAACTGGAGACGAAGCTGTGTAACCATGTGGTGTGCGTGTGTGCGTGCGTGTGTGTGTGCGTGCGTGCGTGTTGTGTGTCATGTCTGCTCACCAAGCAGGGTCGTCCCCTTACACATGCCTGGAATGCAGCCAACGTTTCCAGTTTGAGTTCCCCTACGTGGCGCATCTGCGCTTCCGTTGTCCCAAGAGACTTCCCAGCGCGGACATGAGCCCTCCAGACGAGCAGAGCGGCGGCGTGGGCACCAAGGACCACGGGGGCGGCGGCGGTGGCAAGGACCAGCAGCAGCAGCAACAGGAAGCACCGTTGGGTCCCGGCCCCAAATTCTGCAAAGCGGGTCCCATTCACCACTACCCGGCGCCCTCTCCCGAGGGCAGCAATCCGCCTTCTGTTGGCAGCGGCGGCAGCAGCGCGAAGCCCTCCACGGATTTTCACAACCTTGCCCGGGAGCTGGAAAACTCCGGGGGTGGCAGCAGCTGCTCGCCAGCCCGGAGCCTCAGCTGCGGCAGCGGCGGCGGCGGCCACCAGGAGGCGGAGCTGAGTCCCGAGGGCAACGCCACGGGCGGCGGCAAAGGGAAGAGGAAATTCCCCGAGGAGGGGGCCGAGGGCGGAGGCGGCCCGGGGCTGGTAGGGGGCCGGGGCCGCTTCGCCGAGCGGCCCCTGCCCGCCTCCAAGGAGGACCTGGTTTGCACGCCGCAGCAGTACCGCGCCTCGGGCAGCTACTTCGGCCTGGAGGAGAACAGCCGCCTCTTCGCGCCGCCCAGCCCCGAGACCGGCGAGGCGAAGCGCAGCGCCTTCGTGGAAGTGAAGAAGCTGGCCCGCGCGGCCGGGCTGCAGGACGACGCGGCGGCGGACACGGCGGGCTCCGCC